GGCAATACTGGGACGTATTCGTTCTTCAAAGAAATTTGTAATCGTCTAATGAAAACTTGATTATGTCAATTTGTAGACATATTTAACTGATGACCTCCTTAAAATAGACCGAAAGCTTGGCAGTAACAATTGAATTTGCTTTTATCAAGACCATCATGATCTAGATTATTCATTCAATTGTTACAAGGTGATATTGAACACTAGCATTGATAGTTCATAAAATAAAATGTATGATTAGAAGAGAATGAGGAGACAGAAAGAGAGATATTTAATATTTTATGACTGGTGCAATTAGAGATTTAAGCTTGTTGATAAACATTTCAACAAAATTAGTTTCCTTCCCCAGTGGAATTAAGAAAGAGAGAGATTTAATTTCATTTGTATGTTTTTAATATTTTTGTTTAACTGCTTGTGGTTTAACGAAGTACATTGCCTTCATCTATGCATATTTCCTTTTTTCATTTATCCAAAATTTACTTGTTTAAATAACTTTTCTCTTGCTGAAATAATAAGATTTTAAATTTTACCAATTTCGTATATATAATTCTTTAAATAACAAGATTCTGCTTCTATAATGTGTAGTATCTAACTGTTTATTTATTTTCCCATCATTGGGACAACTTTAATTTTTTGTTGACTTCATTTATTTGTGTCTACCACTGTACATGTATTTACATGTATTCATTTGCATGTGAAGATCACTGTGAAGTGTGTTATTGTTTACGTAAAAAGGGATGGTTAGGGACAAAAACAATTAGTCGTGAAATTTTGGATTGAAAACTGTAATCTTTGATTTTGAATTTTGGAATATATGGCCGATCCACAAACTTGGCACTCGTACATCCAAATAGGTTTGAGTAGATATGTGTATGTCGAAAGTTTTGATTTTAATGGTAATTAATTAATCTTTTTATGTAAGGTTTTGGTCGAAATGAAAAAGTTAGTGCCAAGATCGGGATTCGAGCCCAAGACCTTCGGCTAAATACGCCGCTGCTCTACCACTTGAGCTATCGTGACTTCGATCCACTCGGACACCAACTCCCCAATCAACGGGGCGCTGTTAATGAATTTATACTTCGTTTTACTTATTAAATCCATTATATTTAGTGGTCTATTGACCAAACTACTTCTTTCAATTAATTAATTTTTTTTTATGTAAGGTTTTGGTTGAAATGAAAACGCTAGTGCCACGAGCGGGATTCGAACCCAGCTCCCCGTGGCCAATCCACATGTCGCCGAGAATTGACTCCTGATTACACGACATCTGAAAAATAGCAAAAAGGAGGGACAATTCGAAAGGTTGTAGGTTGAGATAAGGAGTTGGTCCGAATGGATCAAAGTCACGATGTCTCAAGTGGTAGAGCAGCGGCGTATTTAGCCGAAGGTCGTGAGTTCGAATCCTGCTCGTGGCTCTTTTTCATTTCGACCAAAACCTTACATAAAAGATTAATTAATTGAAAGAAGTAATTTGGTCAATAGACCACTAAATATAATTGATTTAATGGTAATTTTGATTGTCGGTTGAGTAACATTTTAAATTGTTTGTTGAGTGTCAGTTTTTTAATCGTGTCTTGTGGATTCTAAGTTAGACTTCTATCAATTGTAAATCCCAAATAGTTAAGTTTGTCCGATTGAGGAACATTGTACATGTATATGCTAGGGACAAGTTTCACGGCAGAGGGTAAATGTAGAAGAGGGATGACTTGTTAATATGGCGGTGATGTGGCAATAAGTGTATTCTCATTTGTGGGTATATCAGAAGAAAAAATTGTGTACAAGAGCGGAGCGAATATTGACCCTTGTCGCACACCTGCAAGTGTCCATCCAGAAGTCTCCGTACCCTGGTTTACTGCAACAATTCTCTACTTAAGGTATGATTGTATAGTCAGATTGGTAAAAATAATTTTAATTTGTATAATAATCCCTCATGCATACTTTGTCGAAGGCCTGAAAAAAATATTCAAACAGATAGGTTACCTATTGCTCTACTAGTCACTAATAAATAATATCAGGCGGGAACAGTAATAAAGTCAAACTTGCAGACCAAACCGTCCCAGTGACCCCCCCCCCTAGGCTTTGGATTGTTTTTCAACTTCAAAAAATCCCTGCGGCGACACGCGAACTCAGTTTTTATTTAAAAATCTGCCCTACGAAATCTTTTTATAACCGTTATATGACTTGTAGTTTCCTGAGGTTCTGGTAAACGATTAAATAACTTAGTCTGGCGCAGTATTTTACGGCTGACTTGTTTGAGACGTTAATAGAAATGTCGACGCTTGCGTTGGTTTAGCCGGGCTGGCCCCGCTCGTCTTTTATTCAGGCAGAAAAAAAAGGAACAGTTGAGTTTTTAATTTTTGCAAACTGGTCTTGCACGCTTTGTCAACAAAGACGGCCTGATAAATGACGCTTGGAAACATAAATTTTATTTTTAAATCTTATTCAAGTTTTATGAACTGGCAAGAAAATTGTTTGCCCCAGGCCACCATGAGGCTCTTAAATTCATACAGAACACATGGCAACGCATCACACTAACAAAATTTCTTTTAGTTTTTCACTTAAATACTATAACTAGCAAATGATTTTATTTATAAGTATTTACTTAACCATTTATAAATCACAACACAAAGAATCTGCCATTAAACATATTTAAAATAATAATTTTAAAAATTTGAATAATTTATATTATACATTTTTTTGTTGCATCTTAAATTCGTACAGAACACCTGGCAACGCATCACGCTCTAGCAATAATTTTTTTTCACTTTTAAATACTATAATTAGCCAATGATTTGTTTAATTATATTTTTTTATTAGTATTTACTTAACCATTTATAAATCGCAACACAAAAACTCTGCCATATTCCATTAAACATATTTAAAATAGCAATAATTTTAAAACTATTAAATCATTTATATTGTGTAATGGTATTTGGTGGTTTGTCCATACTCTTGCCTGCGTGATAAAAAAAACTCAGTAGCGACAACCAATCATTAGACTGCCAGCAAAACACCCTGATATAATAAACTAATAACTGATAGCCAAATAAAACTGATCTAACAAGTTTAATTATTTTTATTATTGCAAGTATTAATTACCAATTACAATGTTCTAAAAACCAAAAGAAGAGCCTTTTGAAAATATTTGGATTTGGATTTTGGATTTATATAATCTCAATTGTACGTGTACATACAAATATGTGCTGAGTTGAGCCTATTCGCTTCTGAAAATCCCTGCGATCCCAGCTTTTATTATTTGCAGTAAATTGCCGGCATGCTCGAGAATCACCCACCCGGGTTTTGGCAGTCTGGGGACAGGCCTCGATCTTATCCTTCCAGCCACCGAGGTTGGGCTCTGGGAAGGTGGTGTGTCAACAGCTAGGTTAATTCTGCACCCAACACATGCAGTTCCAAACCCATTCATACTCATGTTCATTCTTAAATGCATTCAACCACTATGATGATTGATATTTGGCCATTGACTATCTCGCATCACGCTCTAATAAATACAATCACTCTCAACCCAAACTTGGTGTACACAACCATTATTACTAACAAAACGGCCCCATTTCCTCGAAGAATCGGAATAAGGGACCCAAATACTCTCTGCTGTGCTAAGTACAATTCTCAGATCGGGTAGCACCCTTCAATTAGCTCAAAAGTAAGTGTCTGTATGTGTACTTCACATGGCCTATTCTCAATTGCATGAGAATGACTCTTCTTATATGAGTAAGATCCTCCAAGGGCCACCCATCAACAGTGCTTTTGGTACATGAATGCCTCTGTCGACTCGGCCTGTTGAAGCTGCCATCTTCTCTTAATCATGTTTTTTTATTGCTTTAAGCATCAGAAGGTTAGATGTCGTGGCTAAGACTGGAGGCTGGGACCTCCCAATATTAGCCGCCCTATCCATCTTTTCATTTCCCTCCAGACCTATGTGTCCAGGTACCCATACAACAACCACTATTTTGCCAAGATGGTTTGTGGTATCTCTTTAACAAGAACACTACAAGAAAGTCGACAGAAAACCTATCACAGACAGCAGTAAATACGGTGAGGGTGTCGGTGCAGACTAGGTAGGCAGAGGCACCATCGTCTCGAATCACCTCAAGCGTGTGCCAAATTTCAAACAGTTCTGCCAAGTAAAAGCTACAGTGCGGTGGGAGTAACCATGATTGTTTCCTTGGATATATGTACGTCCTCCACCGATGTTGATACAATCATAGGTAGCCCTTGATGGAGCCCAGCCACTTACAGTTGTGTTGGTTTGAACATAGGTTTTCCCTCCAGTGATGTTTGAGAGAACAACGTCTGTGCCCTCTTCTCGTTTTGGGGGGTTAGAGTCAATTTGATTCCCGCTGTAGTTGGGGGGTTTACCTTGGCCGCCTCTCCTTGAGGGTTGGCTTTGGATGCTGCAGCGTACATAATTGCATTCACTCCTATTTACATATCATTCATTCAATTAGGGTATTCCACCATCGTCCCTATCACATCACACATTCACACTAATAAATACATCCTCTCTCAACCTAATGTAGGTATACACAACTATTATTGCTCTACACAATAGAACAGCCCCGTTTCTTCTTAGAATTGGAATAGAGGACCCAAATACTCGTTGGGTGTGCTCACACAGATTAATCTACAATAATATTTATTTTTTAAATTGTATATGTATGTCAGAAGTATGACTAAAAACAATTTTTTGGTAATTTCTAGATTTACTTTTGTTTGACTTACTTTCATCCCAATTTAGTAATAATTCAGAGAAATGACAGTATTACGTTTAGAATATTATATACAACAAAAAACAATAAAAAATTAATATTTTATGTCAATATTTTGCTAAACATTGTGATGTGTTGAACCTATAGTTTGGTCATTCTTCATCATCTTTATCCATCTATCGTCTTTGGTCAGAAATATGACAAAATAATTTTTGTCACTTAATTGTATACAACAGTAACTTTGAAACTGTTGTTGATTGAACTATTAATTTCTAGGTGGTGTCGCTGGCTGCCTGTGCTGTAGGCTGGCAACGTGGGACCCGCTTTTCTAACAGCAACGAGAGTGCATATGATTGGTAATGCTGAGCAATATTTCAACCATCATTTCATTACTTAGTAGTTGGTGTTTTCCTCTGATATTAAAATAAAATTATCAGGTCTTCTAATGAAGGTGAAGAAACAACAGTGTCAGGCGAAAGCACGAATAATTGGCTGTCTGTGAAGGAGTCCCAGAAGTTGCTCAAAAAAGAAAGAGGCTTACCTGTTGACTGTTGCCCGTACGACGTTGAAATGATTGAACCAAAGGGCGGAACAAACCAAGAGGGAATGTATGTAGAATTGTACATGGAAGGCGAGAACAAACAAAGGTTTGTGTTAGATGTTTTATAATTTATGCCTCATATCTCTAAAAGTAAGAGGTTCTTTTTCAAAATAATGTGTGTTCCATTGAGTTTAGTAAGTTTTTCTGGTTTACTTTTTCGCTGTACACATCTGTCCACACAATTTTTATTTATTTAAATAAAATATGCTATCTAAAGAACTTTGGTATACCTTTTAAATATTAGAGTTCGATAAAAATCCACCAAGGATTAAGTTTTTCTAATTCTTTAGCAATTTTTGTCTAATGAATTGTTCAAACAAGTATTTTCAACTTTTAAAGTCTTTGTTTTATTGTTTCCAGGTTCTTCGAGCAGTCATGCCGGCTAGGCGTAGAGGGAAAACCTTGCCGATTCATAGATAGAAAGTTGTATAATCAGTCAAGGTGTGTTCAACGATACTCCTATACATACGCTATTATTAAATTACCTGATGAGACTATACGGCATCACCACCGTGTCAGTCACTTTACTTCATTCCCTTCGGCGAACAGCAAGTGGATGCTTGATTACATCAAGGTGCGGAACGGGTGTAGCTGTGAAGTGCTCGCCAAAATGAAAAAGAAAAAGAAAAAGGGCGGAAAAGGAAAAAGGGAGAGTGAAGAACCCCACTAAAGACAAAATTTACAAAGTATTACTACATTAGTACAACGTGAATAATTGTGAAATACAGAAAACAAAAGGTGTTATTGAAATTCAACTAACATAAGAACTTTTAATATTTTTCTCTTCTTTTCCCCCTGCTTAGGACTTTTTTTAAGATAATATTTATCAAATTATTCAATAGGTCTTATTTATACACATTCAGAATTAAAAATTACTTTATCACCAAATATGTCACCAATGATTTACAGAATATAAATAATGAAATGTACAGAGGCCCAAAAATGGGAACAATACGTTGCAATGGTGACATCTACAATGTTCACATCAATATATATAAAAAAAATTTCATTGAATTTATGAACTGATTTTTATTTATATTCAATTGCATTAAACATTCTTTTTTCTCTTTCTCTCTTTATTTTTGTACTGTTAATGTGTTTCAAAATTGTATAAGTGTACATAAATAATATAATTCTAATTTGCTTTATAAGTTTTTATAATTTATCCCAAAGTGTGTAACTTAAAATTCCAATAATAAAAGAAAAGAAAACTAAAATCAATGAATCTATAAACGGAATTAGTGCAATATACTTGTAGGCACCCTGTTATAAATGTTGAAGATTAATTCTGTTGAGTAAGTAAATTATAAATAATCTTATTTATAAACAGGGACCAATAAATACTATCTATGATTTGGAATTAACCCAATTTTAAACGCTTCAGCTTTTAGAAGTAATGTAATGTATTAAAAACTAATGTAGAAAGTGTCAAATAAACAATACTTGTTTCATAAATATTTTAATGTCACAACACCCCTGCAAGTTAAATATCAATATGGCATCATTTTACAAAGCTTTTATTGGTTTGGATTATTACATTCTTTTTATTTTTATTTATAACCAAGTGTATTCTGTACAAGTTAGAAAACTCTGGAATAAATTAACTGGACATTACAAAAATAAAATATAGATAGTTGAAAAATAACAAAATGAAGATATATATGGAATATGTAAAATTGATTATTTATGGCACTAGCAGGAAAATATCGTTTCTTCCATTAAAACATTTTTAAAAATTAAAAATTATAGAAATAAAATTGAGTAATTATTTTAAATATTATCAATTTGAAACTTGTATTTGTTTACAATAAGTTCTTTGAAAAATACCCAAAGCGTACTAACTGTAAAGGTGTTTCATTCAATACTATATCGTCTGAAAGGTAACATTTATTTTATCATCAAAAACAGAAATAAAGTTTAACAAATTAAAGCATTTTGAGAGTTAATTACATTGTTTCGATTTGCTTTTGGACTTCTCAAATTTAATTATTTAAAGATTTTTTAAGAAAATAATTTCAGTATGAGAATAGCAACAGATTAACAAGAGATATTAGGTTCAGAAAATAATCAAGCCATTTCTGAACAATATCCAATATTATGTTGATGTTCTTTTTAACAATGCAGCTGTAAATTCTAAATTTATTGCAAAATATGCAACAAAGTGAATTACAACCATTGTTGATAACAAATTATGATATTAATAATTTTAATGATTCTATTATACTTTAAATTGCACAATATCATTATTTAGACACACAATTGGTCTTTATATCTTAATAATACACATTTATTTATACATAATGACAATAAATATTTATACAATTAAACAAGGGGGAGAAAGATTTATAAACACATTGTGTAAAAAGTACACTGGGTAAATCTATATACAACAATGTGACAATAACTCCATTTTTTCTGCCAGTCTTCAAAGGGGTCATGAAAATAGTAGTTTTATTTAAATTTTTATAGCATTTCCTTTTTTCAATAATAAAATTCATGATAGTGAATCAAACTGCAAAATACATTATCTGAAGAAGAATTGATTTGATAATATAATTTTGTTATAGATACTGCTCTATTAAAATTTAACTATGTTTATTATACTTTCATTAGAAATTATCACACAAACCTTTCAAAAGTCTACACAGCAAGTAGCAAAGAATATTGCGATAAAATTTTAAAATCATTGTTGTATTGATATCAAGGCTCAATTTGTTGTTAGCCACAACAGACTTATTTATTGCCCTAATGATTGCACATTATTAGCCAATAACAAAAATTTTATATATATTTTTTAACTAACAAAACATAATAAACACACATACATAAAATAGTGAATAAATAATAAAGTATGTAAATAAAATTCAACTCAATTAAACATAAACAATTAAATTCATATACAAAAATTACAGCTACTATCACAATTGGCTAATAGATTATTATTTATTATTTCTCGCATGATATAAACTTCTTTCATCTGAGGTGTGAAAAAAGCTAGATATATCAAATACATTTAGACTTTCAATTAAGGAATTTTTTTTTGGAACAACTATGTACAATTATAAAATTATCTAACTGAACATAAAGTTTTGGAAAGTGGACCAAAGACTTGCCTTGTGATATGGCTTTATGTACTTTTAATTTATAAGAAGCATGAAAATAATATGTGTATTAACAATTCTGACAAAACTTATCACATTTATTATTATGATGCAATTTGCATGAAGCTGAAGCTATTTCACAACCTCACATATATGGTCTAAAATATTAACAACCTCATCGGTCCTAGTCACCACTAATATTAATGAAGAAATTTAATTATATTCATTTTTTGTTATTACTGTTATTATTATAAACCAAAATAAAAGATATTGTTTGCTTTAAAAATAAATAAATAAAAATATAAATATAAAATTGTTTTAAAACAAATATAATAAATAGACAAAATATAGACATTTTATATACATACCACAGTTGCAATGTGCATTTAAATTTTTTATACGCTTAAGTTTCTAAGTAAATTCCAGCTCTAGACACGTTTCTGTAAGCTCAGGAAATTAGACTAATCACATCATATACTTCAAAATCATTTCTACATTGAAAGTTGAGTTGATGATGAGACTGGTATGATTCTATGTAAGTATATATGAAATTAGTAAAAATAATTACGATTTTGTTTTCTTTTTAGGTATTTCAAAGCCTTACCAAAAAATCTTAATTAAGATTTCTTCATTATTATTAATGAACACAATCCCTCCTCACATTTTGCTAACAACTACGACACATTGGTTGCATTTTAGGAATTTACATTGCAAAATAGGCAACATAAAACACCGATTTTTATACTTTTTAGATGCGAATTGCCTTAAATATTATTTAATTTCATGTACACCATATGTGCATAACTAATAAAAGCTCTACTATTATTTTGCTGGAGTGGAAGCACCAGTCGATGATGCTGAGGAGCTGGTTACAGTAGGTGCAGTTCTTGCTAATTTTGATCTGAAGTATTTGCAAAAGAATATTATTTATAAAGTATAATGAACAGCTTTATTATGCTTAATTACCTGATCTGGCCAGCAAGTAAGGGGTTGATAGCATATAGCCAGTCGTGTACTTCTTTATCACCCAATGTCTGCATTAAATATCCTCTATGTTTGGTAACAACACTTCACAAAATTTAATTTAAAAAAAGGGGGTTAGAATTCATTTAATCAAAATATGTTTACATATTTCATTATTTATTCACCTAAATGTGTTTGGCACTTTGACCATCGCTTGTTGGTCCTCAGAGTATTCAACTTGAGCAGTAGTTAGATTAATCAAAGCACGCTCAACAGGGTCTTTTTCATCTCTGAATATGAATACATATGGCCTTCTTACAGCCTAGAAAAAATATAAAAAGATAAATAAATAGAATTAAAGTTTATGGTAGCAAATGTCTTGAGTGAAATATTAAAACTTACCACCCATCGCTTTTTCCACCCATTGGTCTTTTGCTCAAGGATATTCAAATATCCCTTTCTAGCTATTACAGGACTAATTCTTATCTCTTCAACTTCTGGTACATACAAAATCAAGGTCTGGTCACAAGGACTGATGTTTCCTTGATCAGGGCGACCAGCATTAGACAGGAAGTTCATTTGTTCTGGTAAAATTGGCCTGTTTATTCTATCAGGAGAGATAAGGCTGGAAAAACATACGGAATGACAAAAATATCAAAATTGATAAATTGTAAAAGACATACTCATTAGCAGATACAGGTGATGTTATGCTGGAGCATACGCTGTTGCTCATATCAGTTTGCTCCTCAGCTGGTGAAAGATCACCAATTTTTGGTAATTCCTAAAATAATAATTGTGGAATAAATAATGGAATAAAGTTTAAACAAAGTGTAACATACTTTTGATGGTATGCGACCCTGTATGAGTTTAACACATTTAGTTGCTAATTCTCTTTCCCTAGCAGTCATTTCCCAAGGTTCATAACAGTCTTTAGACAACGTTCTTGCCCTTACTGGACTTCCGCGGCCATCTGTTCCAGTTGCTTTCGCAGCCATATTACACACCTCCTTCAAATAAAAATCATTTTGTTATTTACAAATATAATATTGCTCCCGGGCACGAGAGTAAACTGCATCTACATGCACATAAAACACACTGACACAAGCGCACATCACATACACCCTAGGGTTACTGCCCCTAGAAGACCTAGCCCATGGCATGTGTTAGGGGTGACAAATTCGGACCAGGGTATGTGAAAAAACATAAAAATATTAAGGAACCAAGAATGATGTTGGACGATTTTAATGCCCACAACACATGGTGGGGATCATGGCATATAGACACTACGTTACAGTTCCTCGCTAGACCGTTGGCAATTCACCCAGTCGCCGGGTACCTGGGGCTCAGTGGAGATTTTTTTTTTTTTCGTGGCCACTTCGTCTCCAAAAGGGGAATAATCGAGCACCACACTGTTTTTATTTTATTTTCTTCTTTTGGGAAAACAATGAAACCCTTGGGGTGAAATAACGAAATAACAAATAAAAAATATTTTTAAAAAAACAAGAAAATAAAATATTAATGTCCTCTGCATAATGAATAAGATGTCAAACAAACAAAAAAAGAAATAAAACAAGTATTCAGAATTTAAAAAAAAAAAAAAAAAAAAAAAAACTGTCCAGAAACCAATCTTATAACTTAAAAGCTCGAACCTCGTGTACGTCCTTTTTCTCGTCATTCCAGAATGGTTCTCCCCTCGCACACGCAAACCCTCCCCTCCATGACGATGAGAAAAGTCCCAAAAATAATAAAATAATACACTGTCACATTTTACTTTTTCGCCTCGCTCGTCCACACCGACCAGTCCCAGCTCGAGGCCTCCTTGTTCACTCCCATCAGACCCCACTCCTCGCCAGTGTCCCCGCTGAGCCCTGGCTGGGCTTCCTTCATCTTCCAAATGCCACCCGCGCGTCTTCAGCCTCTTCCAGACCTCATTCAATCTTGCCGAGGGCACCCTTGCCTCTGCCTGAGTCTGGTCACCCCAGTGCAAAAAAAAATTTTTTTTTCCTCTTGTGTTCACTGTAACAACTAGCGGCATAAAACTGGTCCCCCTGGGCATCGGAGCCACTTCACATATTGATTTAAGAACTGGAAGATTTAGCATGAGTGACCTGTTGATAGTCTCGCCCTCCCTGGCAATAATGGTAGAGTGGGCTCATTGAGGAACCCCCACTTGAGTGATTTCCCGATAGTTATGAAAAGTTCTGTCATGAGGTAGATATACTGGGTCTACCTGGTAGCCCTCATGTACCATTGTCACATCTGAGTGCACACAGAGAGGAAGTGGGTTTTTCGCCGCTTCAGAAGACACCCAACAGAGTATAATTTGATTGATTATCAAACAGGCCAAGTTGGCAGAGGCTTTGATGTATCAATAGCACTGTCGATGGATGGCCCTTGGAGGATCTTACTCGTAGAGGAAAAGTCATCCTCACCCGATTCAGAATAGGCCATGTGAGGTTGACATATAGACACTTTTGAGCCAAAGTCCGCATATACATGGTCCAGCATGCAGAGAAAGGTTGCTTGATGTGTCTCACCTAATTGAAGAGTGCAGTTCCTTGGCTCAATACAGAGAGCACGCAGGAATGCCACCCAACCTGAGAATTGTGCCTGAACACAGCAGAGGATTTAGGTTTCTTGTTCCGATTCTTCAAGTAAATAGGGCCGTTCTATTTTATATAGTAGTAATAGTTGTACACCAAATTCATGTTGAGAGTGAATGTGTGATGTGAGATAGTCGATGGCCAAATATCAACCCTAACTGGGTGAATGGTATGTAAATAGTGAATGAATTATTTAAGAATGAACATGAGTACGAATAAGTTTGGAACTGCATGTGTTGGGTGATGAATTGACCTAGTTGTTGACAGCACCTCCTCCCAGAGCCCAGCCTAGGTAGCTTGACAAATAAAACGGAGGCTTACCCCCAGACTGCCAAAACCCATCAAATATGCCAGCAGTTTGCTATAAATAGCAAAAGTTGGAAGTGCCGGTGGACTACAAGAAGCAAATAGGCTCAACTCGGCACACGTTTATATGTATGTACATACTGTATAAATCCAAATCTAAAAATACTTTATTTAATAAAATATGTAAATACCTTTTCACTCTTGGTTATTGGAGTTTTGTCAATTCCGAGCCTTTCTCGGAGTAATAAAGTGTGTCTTACTCTTTCCACCTCTTCAAGTCTTGTCAACTTCTCAAGTTCCCATTGGTGGTCAAAGATTAAGCTATCACCACGAGGTCTCCAGCCATCCAGATTTTCTTCACCACGGACATATGTTGAACTTGTGTCTAAAACTCTTCTTTGCCTTCGTTGTACACCTTGATCAATTAAACAAATTATATAAACATTATAAGTGTCATTATTTATTTTAAAAAATGAAAGTAAAATTCTACTCATTTGAATAGTTTCCATTTAGTATTGTTTCTCTAAAGGGCTATTGAGAATTAAATATCAAATGTATATTTCTATGAGAAGCGGTAATCCTTCTCTAAATCAAAAAATAAAACAATGTGCCATAAACTATCAAAAAATCTAATTCAATGAAGAAAATATTTAACTAAAAACAAAAAGAATTAAATGTTAAATCTACTATTCTACTGTGTATTATTTACATAACAATGGGTTAATGAAGATTAGATTGTTCCTGTTTGATATAACTACTGCCCATGCATACTATCTGTGGCCTAACCAACCTGTCAATCCTTATTTCTATTTAAAAAAATCAGTATGTGCGTACAGTAGACCAGAGATAGAAATAGTTCTAAAAATAATTTGAAGTATTGTTACATAATCAAGTTAATTGAAGAATATATTACAAAAGATTTGGTTGTTAATATTACATAATAAAACTATGGGGATTGTGGTGCTTAGAGGAAAAATTAATAATGTAATGTTCCAATATTAACAAGACAGGTTGGTTTAATAAGCAACAGCTGAGAATCTACCTGGGCTACCTGCTTCGGACGCTCTCTTCAATACAAGTTCATAAATTCCCGAGAGTCTATTAGCTTCAGCGTTTCTGTAAGTCCCTGTGAAGAGATGTCTGAGAGATCGAGGTCCGGTACGTGCATCTCTTCCGTAGATGACCAAACTCAAGTCTTTTGTTATGATTGCTGGTCGACCACAGTTTTCCAACTGGAAAAATATTAATATTAACATAATGTTAATCATTTTTCAACCAGTGAATGGTAATTACTTCAAGGTAAGCTGATATCGTCATGAAAATCTGTTCTCCACTGGAAACCCTGTTGAGAAGCGGAGAATTGTGAAGCGAACTGTCCCAGGCAGCTTCAAACCTAAACATGCATCTGTCATCTCCTGGAAGCTGGACAATTTCTCCAGGGAATAGACCCAAAGATAAAACACAACTATCATTATCTTCTTCTTCTGGTTCCGGTGTAGTCCTGATACGGCCTATATGGTAAATAAATTTTACTTAAAATTCTACTAACATAGACCACTAAATGGAAGAAAAAAATCCAACTGACCAACTACGAGTTCCTTTACATCTTTCCATTTTAGCTCCTGAGCTTGTTCATGTACTAAAGTTACCCTAATTCTTCTTTGAATTCCTTGATGGAGTAAAAATAGACCTCGGCAAGGCAGATCATCACTGTGTTCAACAACAGTTGGTACATATTCACCATTGGGTGCTAAAAAAATAAAAAAAATCGAAGAATTCATTTAAGACTCAAAACAATGTATTATATTTCTTACCTAATTCACAAATTTCAAACCAAACCAGAATGTCATATTTGGCATGAACATGTGACGTGCAAGGAAGAGGAAGTTCACCAAATTTCGGTGAACGAACTGGTTGGCTTATTGGGATAGATGGTGGCAACATTCGTTTAGGAGGTTGTCTTACACTATAAATAATATAATTTTTACAGATATAATTTTTTAAAAACAATGTATAATACTAATTTGTATTCTTTAAAAAAAACCTACCCAATGTTTCCTTCCTGCTTTGCATCTTTATGTAATGGATGTTGTTGATAATGGCCAAAAACTTCAAATACAATTGGCTGGGTTTTCATGTAGTCCAAGAAAGATTTTGTCACTGTCACAGTGATCTATTTAAAAAAAGTAAATAAATAAAATTAAGTTCGTTATCAGTAAAAACAAGGGTTTTAGTGTGGATAGGGCTTCTAATTCATATTTGCTTGGGTTCAAATCCCAGCACAGCCTATGGAATTTTAATTCGTAACAATATGTTAAAGGTGATGTACAGTGGTATGACCTCTTGTCCGAGACACCCGAGGGTTCTGTTGGACGTTGAGCTTTTCTGTATGGCAGGAATTACTTTATTTTTTTAAAGTAAAAACTAAAAATTAGTAAGGTCATTATTTATCATTTTTGCTGAAATTTGGTCTGCCTATCCTCGCTGGCTTTGCTGTTAGGCATGTTTCAACAGATAGTAAACAGGCAGACCAAAATGATCGGTAATGACCAAAATTAATTGACTAATTAACTTTTAAACTTACATTTTGTACATGATAAAATTGAAGTGGGTTGTTTTTCCCAGTGTTTTTAACAGGTTCTGTTGAAAAAGCTTCATCGTGTCTGTGTAGGAAGCTGTAACCATAATCATCGTTAAGCAAAAATAACTGAACCGCTTAAAATGTTCTGCATTAAAACTTACTTGAATTGACAGAATATGTCTGAATATTCAGCAGGTATTCCTACAGCTTGTAAAACAGTGACTTTAAAAGTGAAATCAACCCCGATATTAAGATGTTGTGGCGGGTCGTCTTCTTTTTCATCCACATCAACACAGCTTTCTCCTTTTCCACTGTCTCCGTCTTCAACATCTCCTTCAATAAAATCTTCTGATATTTTATTTTTATTTGCATTATTAGATGAATTTCATAGTCCATCATTTTTATACCTTCAGGCTTATCAATCTGGCCTTCGACGACTCGTTCGGTGAGAGCCTTTTTGCCTTTTGGTGGAGCCATGAGTTGTGTATCATTGAAAACAATCCTCGCTGATTGTCTTACACCACTACCATTTTCAGTGTTTTCATCTTCTAAACAAAATTTAAAGTTAGGAAAAAGTTTTTCAAAAATTTAAAGTTAGAAAGAAAATCGCAATCTCACCCATTATAGCTTGAACAGCTATTCTTAAGTACCCTTTGACATCTCCTTTTTCATTGACAATGGCTACTTTATGGATTAAAGGAACTGGGTAAAGCAGGTTACTCAAATAAACAAATGACCTGGAATAAAATCATGAATAAGTAAAGGACTATTCAAACGCGCTTGGTTCTTAATCAATTTGATGTTTTACCTCCCGACCATTCTAAACCATGGAAATCTATCATAAAATGGATCTCCCCTTGCTATAGATTCAATGTTATAGTCTGGAGAAGTTGGTGATAATTCAGCCTCATTATGATACATTTCCCTCATCAGTTCAAGTCTTTGCCTAGAAAAATTTAAATAAAGCTATATACAAACTTTTAAGCAATATCAAAACAAGATACTAAGGATATAATATTATATACATAGTTTAAAGTATATGTATAGCAAACTCAAAATTTGTAGCAAAACTATGCAAAGCTTTGAAGAGATGGTATGTTCAATACCAATTCAATTTTGATGATGTTTCAATTTCAACATGAACAACAATCAAAACTTTTAATCAAATACATACAAGAAATATTAAAACAAAAAGAAAGAGTACAACTTTTTTTTAAATTAGGACCAGTTTTAGAAAGGCCTATTCTTTTTTTTTTCTTCTTTTTGTGTCAAAAGTTTTCTGTACAAAACAAACATTTTCATACTCAAGCATATAACTTTTAAAAAGTTTAATTTGAACTGTATCTTTAAAAAAGAGGGCTTAAGCACAAGAAAATATCATAAAATACAAATCAATTCAGCTCGAGTTTTTAAACTGCACCTGCATGCCCAGGAAATGAACAATCGATTCAATGGGTAAGAGAGTAAACAACGAGGTGAGAGTAAACAATAATTGCCAACCATTATGCACACCAATCCTGAAGTAAAACAGTATTGGGAATAAATTTCACATAGAAGTTTCATAAATAGACGAGCTTAGAATTTTAAAAAGCGAAGAAACCAGAATTCAACTGAGTAAATGAAAAGTATTATACTCATGAATTAACAAATGTAGGTGTTTTTGTAGTAGCAATTCATTGAAAGAAAAAAAAGCCGCAGTGAGCAAGGTATAATTGAAATGAATTTATTTAAATCAATTTAAAATCATGCTTACACAAGTCAACTATACAGCTTAAAGAACTAATAACAAAATTTGAGTTCTTCCAAAGCTCTCCAAATATTACAATGATGATGAAAAATACAGCAATGATGAGTGGATTTTTTCTCGTATATTTTGTACATGTTTGTATCATTATACCAAGTTGTAAAAAAGTCTGGGTGTTTGGTTGTTTTACAAAATTATTTGATCATATTCAATATTCATTCAATAAATTTTTAATTAGAGTTGCATTTTATACTTTTTTATTATTTTATATTTTTAGAGGTTTTTAATGAAAAAGCTTTAAAAAGTTTTAAACCAAGTTTTATTTGTATTGCTGTTGCAGTCTCGATCAGGCACTAAGTTCAAAAGAAATTTAAATAAATACCTTGTAAGCGCACAGGCTTTTGGTACATCTAATCTAGGTAGAATGTGTACGTACATAAATTGTGTAGAAAAATATGTCAATATTTCAAACTAAATTGTCATAAATTATAAATATGCATTCCCAAACATTTTTTCATAAATATAAGTTTGCACACTATGAAGAAATGAAAGTTGTGCCATACTCGGATTGCATTGAGATCATGTGAAAATAATGTTAGGAACAAGAACGGGAAGAACATTGAGGTACGCTTCTCTGAATAAAGAAAATCTACATGAAAAGTGCCTATATTCAATTAATTAAGGTTTTAAGTTGAGATAAAAAATTCAGTGTCACGAGCGGGATTCGAACCCACGACCTTCGGCTTGATACACCGCTACTCTACCACTTGAGCTATCGTGACTTCGATCCCCTCAGGCACTAACTGCCCATCTCAACCCCACCTTTTGAATTTTCCCTCCTTTTTGCCATTTTTCAATTCAAAGTCACGATAGCTCAAGTGGTAGAGTAGGGGCGTATCAAGTCGAAGGTCGTGGGTTCAAATCCCGCTCATGACACTGACTTTTTTATCTCAACTTAAAACCTTAATTAATTGAATGTTATTAATTGGTCAAGCGGACCACGAAAAATAGTTAATTTAGTGCCTATATTGTTTAACCATGTGAATTAAAGAAATTATTCAGTGTGGTATTGAGATCTTGATGATATTTCAATTAATAATGAAGTAGAAGAGGAATTAACAGAAGTAGAAAAAATTATACTACAACTTATATCTATAGATCACCTCCATGTAAAATGTCGATAAAAAAATATATATTTTGTTCATAAATACTATTTTTACAGGGTTATTCAAAACAATTATCAGATAATTGTAAAATTAAACAATCAGTAGTTTAAATGTGAAAAGAAATATATAACTAAAAACACACTGTGACATGCTTATACATTGTTGTATTTTACATGATGTAGTTAGCAAATGACATTTGTCTTATTAAGGCCAAATTCTTTAGGGGCATTAATCACCTCAATACCTTGTTTATTTGTGTAATATCAATGATCATAAAATTTTCTATAAAACACTGTTTTGATCTGAGCTGTTAGATCACCTCTGCATATTGCCACCGTTTCTGTCAGACAATTTTCTAAGTTCAGTGGCTCTTATTAATGAACCATACCCGCTATCATTAACAAAATGTGCAAACCAGGATGATCAGGGAAGATTAATTTATGGAAAGATTTCAAGAACTCATAAACCAATCAATATGATTCACTTCAAAACTATGTTCCTTCTGTTGGGATATAAACAAGATTTAAAATAAAAGTTTAAAATAAAAAAAAAACTAAACACTAAAATATTTAAAAAGGTAAAAGTTAAAACTATAAAGTAAAACCATTTACAATATAATAAGCATAAGATTTGAATTAAATGTGTACAATTAACAGTGGTGGTTGTTTGAATCTCTGGACACATATGTCCGGAGAGAACCAAAAAGGGGTCGTTCCAACCTTCAGACCTAACTGTGATCCAGCCAAATAAAGTAAGGTAAGGTTCAGGTTAAAAAGAGTCGGCCACAACCAATATTGATATCTTGTGAAATCTCTATTATCTAGGGCTCTTCATTAAACATAAGGCTTTTTTATCAGATCAAGTACTCATCCATCAGAGGAAATGTTCCACCATTTCTTTTTCTTAGTGTACAGGATTGTTTCTGCTGACACAAATTTGTGTCTACAGTGTCCAGTGAAGAGTCCTAGTAGCATCCTATCCCTGACACATACTAGGTTTACTAGTCTAACTAATAACTCTAATAACTATGACATTTCACACAATATAATGTCTTGAATAACCCTAATTAATGTACTCTATTCATGCATATGTCTATATTTTATGTTTTTTCTAATAGTCAGTGCCATTTTAGCATAAACACATCCTACAGTACATAAGAGATTATAAACGTTATTGAAAATTTACCTAATAAGCAAACTTACAAAAAATATTTATAAAAAAAAAAAGCCAGAGAACAGCTACATATTGGTGCAGTGAAAGTGGTGGCTATGTAACAATGAAAGCATTCATGCCACAAGTTAATCACGAAGCAACATATGTGAAAAAGAAATTAAGGGATAGATACAGAAAACAAAACTATGTTGAACACATTAATAATAGGCGAAGCCGCACCAACCTCGAAGGCAAAAGATTGGCAAGATTGAATGGTTGATTTAGACAATGGAAAAAGTCCTCCATTCTCTGTTCTGGTGTTACAGGACTTGTGAGATCTTCATTGTATATATGCCTCATCAGTTCCAACCGGTTTCTAAAGTAACATAAAACCAATTCTAAACTCTCTGTTCTTTATCAATATAACGATGGTTAGGGCCTTATTAAAAAGAACCACACATAGGTTAAGCAAGTGAAATTGAAAAATAAAATATACAAACAATAAAATAAAATTCTGTGATGTTTTACAGGTGAATTGGCAAATGGTTGTGTGTTGATTGGGATTTTATATAAAAATAGGCAAAATTATAATTATTACAAACAGTGTAGACATATTTGACAAGCTCTATTGCAAAATTTTCTTTTTAACAAGGCACTACCATCTGTTAACTTATTCAGTCCTAAATATAACTTCTAAACATATATTTTATAAACTGTCAACACCCCTAAATCACATAGTTCACATCTTTTGCCTTCTGAAAGTTCTGTTAGCGGCATAGTGTAACTGAACAATTCAAAATTAAATATTAAGCATTATTGTTCTACTCTCATTTTTAACTTATTTTGTTTAATTTAACATTTTTGTGGATTGTACCATTTTAGCCTAACAAAAATACGCATGCGTAAGTTATTTTCTGCATCAAAATATTGTTTATGGCTATTGCCTTCCACACTTCCTGAAACTACTGATAACAAGAAGATAGAAGAAATAAGAAATGTGTTAAATAAGCTTCCCAATAAGCCCTATCAATTTAGAAGAAAAAGCCTTAAAACACTTATTAAAGATTATTAAATAAAACAAAACCAATTTTTATGGGCACATTAATGATGCAAACATGATGTTAAGGGATGTAACTTCAGCATGCGCTTGATTAATTCCAAATGTATTATTCATAATTTTGTCATAGTGCTAGAAACTTTTTTGCAGTGCCTACAAAATCAGCACACTTACCATAACTTTAACAATGACGAATAGTAAAAAATTTTCTAGAAAAATAAAATTAGGTATTCCTAAAAGTGTATAAAATCTATCTGTATTGGAATAACCCAATGGAAAATTAAACTTAACATCAAAGCAAATAAAGAAGACATTTGTTCAAACCTTAATTTCTCAAGGGACCAATAGTAAGTAGCTCCATTTTTCGTATCCAACACTTCAACAGCAACTATAGTCCTGGGATATGGTCTTTCTAAATCATCATCAATGTCATTAGGTATCAAATCAGGTGGCAGAGGAGAATATAATGTTCCTGTCAATAAAGTAAACTGAAATTGCACCTAGAAAGCAAAACAGTTAACATAATATAACTATAACTTTAGTCTTAACAAAGATATTAAATACCCTCTTCTTCAATTCAACAGATTTTGCATTGGCTTCTTTTAAAAATATTGCATTTCCCCAAAGATCATCGCGCAGAGATGTGAACTGATGATATTTCCATTTACGAAAAGCCCAGCTGGCGAGTTGGAATTCCCTATCAGTCCAATTACAAGCAGCATCGAACAGTGGATTGACTGTAAATAAACCGTGTTAATACAAATTGTGATTAATCATTTATTTTCTTAACATTAATTTCATTTAATTGCCACATAAAAAATAGTAATACTAAAAAAACCTATAATCAGAATTTAAGATTACACTATTAAGAAAAATTTTAACAAATTAACTAAAGTCAACCATATTTAGTCACTGACAACATTATATTTTGGACTTGTCATTCTTTTCTCTTTTAAACTTCAATTATTAAAAATTGTATCGTGTAACTTGGTAAACACTATTTTGGAATTTTTGTCGTATAACAAATTCTTTAAGTATTTTTTTCTATAATTTATATTTTTTTATTTATCTAATCTGATGTACGTAATTATTTTGCTTGTTATTACCCTTCCACACAATTATTAAATAATTCAATCTTATAACTTATTTTATTTACTGTAAAGTTTATAGTATATTGCCAAGACATTTGACCATTTTAAGTGTTTATAACCTACAGTCCCTGATGATGACACAAAAATACAGTTGAAAACTTGACAAATTATTGTAAATTTATTCAGCTGAACCCTCATGCAGATCCACTCCAGTATAATTAAAAAAATAAATAAAAAGACGATAGAAGTGTCAAAAATATTAAAATATTGCTAAAAGGAAAATTCTGATTCAGTTTTAAATAATTGCGAAGTTTCCCAAAGTATAAAATAACTCTTATGCAGTGTTAAAAGGTAGTTTTCCTTTTCCTCCGAAATTTTCAATTTGAAATCAACTTTCTACTTCGTCAAGGGCCATGCCTTTTTTATGGAATATTGCACACTCACACACACACACAAAATAGTATTACTAATGTGAATATGTTTGATGTGATATAGCTGGTATTGGTTTGGTAATTTATCAAACAGTTGAAAAGAAAAAGTTTCATACTACCTAGTTATTATTATGTAAATTATTTAGAACAGTCTAATTACCAAAAATATCTTCCTCATGAGGAAAGTCTTCTGGTGTGTATGAACTATACATGGACATTGTCATACTTTGCTCTTCGACTTGCTTTTGCAAAGCATCAATTCTGGCCTCATAAGTCTATAAAAAAAATTTATTTATTTATTAATTCAATACCTGAGACAGATAAAATGCCCACAGTATACCTTTCTTTGTTCTTCAAATTTTTGATCAGCATCTTCTTTCTCTTTTCTAAATTGTTCTTCTAGAGCTAGTAGACGTTTGTTCATTTCCTGTTTCAAATCTATTCCCTGTTTCTCCAAAAGCTCGATTTGTGCAAAGTCCCAGTCGACTATTTCTGAATTGTTGGGCGTTTCTGCAGGTGATGCTTTGCCTATAACTATAATAGTTTAAAATATAATTAATAAAATGATTCAAATAACAAAAACAAATTTAGCTCAGAAATCGCCCTTATTACCTTCAGGCTTGTCTTCTTTGATTTCTGTGATGATCTTCTCTCTGTTTTCACGGGCTAAGGATATAAATGATAATTAATTATTTACAAAAAGAACTTGTTAAATTAATAAATTACCCTGGACAGGATGGTTAAATCTGAAGACATGGTTTTTCCCAAGAATGACACGCGAGCCAGTTCGAAGAACTTCGGAATCTGAGACTTGTCGGCCATTTACATAACAGTCAGCGCCAGGAAGTGGTTTTAAAGTCACAATGCCCTCTCGGTTTTCAAAAATACAATGTTCTCCAAGAATATGAGACCCATTCAATTGAATATCTTGAGGTACATTTGCTTCCCCACTCCCTACTCTTGTTAAGCCATCTTTAATATAATACAACAGACATTCTGACATAGAGGGATCTTCATTTAAGTTGACCAAATGGGGAGTCTGAGAGAAAAACAAAAATAGGCATTGTAGTAAGTAACAAAACTAAAACATTGCCAAACTTCTTACCTTCTTTGGTGAAAATACACCAACAGTATCACCATCTTCTTTGACAGCAACACCCATCTCAGCAAATATGGCTTCTCGTTGCACTCTTATTTCCTCCGTTCGCTTAAGTTTCTCTTCCCATGTCTCATTCAGTTCTGAACATTATTAGTAAAACAATATTTAGTAAAGCTTTTATGATACATTAAAATAAACATCTCTCAACAAATTGCTATTTTACTCACCGGCAATTAATTTTTCACTCGCTTGAAGTTGGTCAACAGCTTCTTCTGCAATGGTAGAAGAAGGAGTCATTTTCTTTTCTTCGCCCTCTTCAGATTTCATCACTTTCATACCATCATCCCCTAAACAAATACAGTATGAATGAGAAACGGTGTCTTCTAATTAGATTTTTCATCATTAAAACTGTTTCACAATTAACTACATTTGGGAAGTTTTCGCAACAAACAAAGTGCACAGCATAACAATGAAAATATAACAAAAACAAAAAGCACCATATTTTGGGTTAACAAATTGTTTTTAATAAAATAACAGTTACAATGATTCCATTGTATTTTATCCATAGTTTTTGTCAGAATTTGATTTGGCTAATGTTTTCTTTTCTCTCTTTTAACAAGCATGCAAATGTTTTCTGAGAAAACCAAAATTTTATGTATTACAATATCTCTTTTAAACAATGATTATATTAAGCTTCGACACTGATTGCTACGGAAAAAAAATAGACAGGAAGCAAAATTTAAAAACATAAATGAATAAACAAAAAAAAATTTAATATACATAATATATTAAGCAGTTATTCATTATTATTAAAGCTATTATATTATCATTTAAATTAAAACAAAATTAAATGATAATAAGATGTGCTTAAAATACTTATTTATAAACGATAAATGGGATGTGTCAAAGAAAGCTATGCATAATGAGCATTTGGGATTTTAGACAGCTACTTACTATTAGAGTCTTTAGCCTTTTCGTAAATCACTTTACCATCTGGTCCGAGCAAATGTTAATAGAAAATGGAAACACAACTATTACTCTACATTGAACAGGAATGGTTTTACTATTTATACTTAATTTTAAATTTAACTGCTCATTGTGTTTAACAATTTACTTGAAATAGAGGAGGATTCGGAATTGTTTTTACAAAATAAAGACAAACTCTAAAATAACAAATAAAAAGATAAAAGTTCAACAATTGAAATGAGGATTTCACCTTCGTGAACTTCGATGCCCTCTGCTTTTAAAAGATCTCGCAGGCGTTGAATTTCTTCTTTGAGTTCCCTGATGAGTTTAGCATTGGCATCTTCATTGACAACAGCTTTGCACATAATTTGTTTGGCCCGATCAGCATATCTATGATAAAACATAATTAATTATATTATAATACTGCGGAACAAAATTATGTACCTAAGGGTTGATAACGTCTCATCATAGTTAATATCAGCAGGACTTATAGCAGCAATCATTGCTGTTTTAGAATTACCACCGAGATTTTCCCTCAACAACCAGGTAAGAACAGAATCCCTGTATGGAATGAAGTTCTCTTTCTTCTTTTTTTTAGTGGCCTTTTATAAAGTAAAATTACTTAAGTTAATATCTCTTTATAATAATCAAATAATCTAAAATTATAGTTACACTGAAAATTACTTACTGACTATTATATCCAAAGAGTAAGAAAAAATAAAATATATTTAGAATAAACAACAAAATTATTTAAAATATAAAAAAGCACGTATGTAACATTACTCACAATTTCTGCAAGTGCAGAAATGACTTTTCCCAAAGTGGTCAGACTTTTGTTAATATTTGCTCCTTCTTTGAGCCTTGTTCCTTTTGCACCAGTGGAATCTGCCCTTTCGGAGCCAGCAAGGTCCACCAAAGAAATTTTGCTGACTTTTTCAGTTGTCAATGATGTTAGATTATCAACACGCTGCTGGGTGAAAAATATAGTGAATACTGCATGTGATCTGCTTGATGTTTCATTCATGTTAGTTGCAGCCACAGTTCTAAATAAGGAAGTCACTGTTGATTAGTTTGTATAATATTAAAATGATACAATATTTTTTTTTAAATGAATAACCGACCTTGCTTTGTTCCCTTCATCGATAAGGTTGTGGATATCTTCATAGTTAGTTACAGCGAGTTTTGAAAGATCTTCAACATAAGGACCTAAAAGAGGGTGCTCCCTGACTCTAAGGTTTCCTTTATTTTTTGGATTTAATAAATCTCTCACACGCTCACAGTAAATTTCCATATAACTGACCTAGAGTTTAACACATTAAACATTTTTTTTTTTAAATTGTTATGCCAAAATAAAATGCCATTTCGTACTTCAACCGAATAGCGAAGATCTTCTGAAGTTGTGTTTCTGATCCTATCAAAAAGATCTTTACAGATTTGTGGTATAATTCCTTCTTGACCATCCTCATCTTGTCGGCCCATCATTGTATAAGACTTTCCAGCGCCGGTTTGTCCGTAAGCAAATATGCAAACATTGTAACCTAAAAGAAATCAATTTTTTAAACAAAACCATACAAATAAAACATAAAAATATGAAAGAATTGAAACAAACCTTCAAAAGCATGTTCTAACATTTCCTCGCCAATATCTTTATAAACCATGATTTGAGATGTAAAATTTGGGTCGGTAGGCTGAAAATTGGAAAGTATAAAAAATTAAAAACCGATATAAAATTTATGACTTCATTTTTTCAAAATTTACATCATGTGAGCAGTAAGAGTAATCATAATTGAAGCTTTTGACAGCGTCTTTTGTTCCTGGTGGTGCTTTTGGGTTTGTAATAGCTAAATCAAACATAAAGTTTTAGTTTTCAGGAATATAAATCAAAATTAAAAAGCAATAACATTTAATGAGCCTACATGTGGTGTATCCGGCCATTTCAATAATACATTTGCACTCCCTGGATATCTCCCTGTTGTTAAAGGGCCGAACCCTCACTGCCACTTTTACAGATGACATGTTTGCTCAATTTATTTTATCTGTAACAAAGTAATATTTAAACAACTTATGAACTCCTACATTCTGAATTATTAATTATCGTTAAGACGCACATGGACATTTTGTAATGTTTGTATCATCTAATCAAGACTTTTAATAAATTATTGCCATTAATTCACATTACAAAAGGTCTTATGGTTTCTCAGCTGTTTATTGATTCAAATAAACTATTCATTCACTTATGCATGTAAAGAGAAACATCTAATAGAAAAGTTAACTATGTTTTCCCATTAGGTGACCTTAGGTTGAACAAAATTGGTGTTAAAGATAGTAATATAATGAAATAGGTTTATAACAAAAAAACCTTTTAAAACCAGAATTAAAAGGTGTACAATGTAAAGAACATTCTAAGCTGACGCAAAATGTAAGTTAATGAGGAAAGTGAAAAGAAAAATGTGGAACAATACGGCGCTATGATATGCAAAGCCTGTATAACCTATATGTCCTGCGGGGTTTTAATCTATTCAAGCGCCTTGCTAAGATTTTTTTAATGTACGTTAAAGGTAAAACAAAAACCCTAACAATAAGTTTGAAAAATCTCCGACTAGTTTATTAAAGAATTTAATTTTTTTCCAAAAAATAGGGTTCTGTCAAATTAGCGTAATATTTAGGAGTGGTTTTTCAGAATAAGTACGTATTAAGCTATTTCAAATGTTCGAACTTTATGTTTTATAAATTACAAGCTCAATCATTTGTTTTGGTGTAAAAAAAGTCGGTTTAGTTTTTCTTCGACTTTGAAATAAATATATTTCTAATAAAAATATGCAACATAGAGATATTTTTGCGTTATCAAGCCGAACGGCATTTCATCAAAGTTGTCATTTTCTTTTTTGGCTACGAAATTTGCTTATTTGTATTTTTAGCATATTTCTCTCTATCGTTTTCTAGACTAATTTTGTTTTGTCTTTAATTATCACTTTATATTTCAACATATTTTTTCTGTCATCATGTCCTTCTGTTTGACTTGTTCTTCCATAATTTAGTTAATCAGTAAGTAAATATGAATTTCTCATACAGTTTTAACCTAAACACACTCTTTCTTATTTACATACCATTCACTCAGTATATCCTCCATCCACGCTATTGCTCTACACGCACATTCACGATTATAAGTTCATTCTCACATAATACAGAATACATCTATCACCAAACTTGTTATATATTCAGTGATGAGATTGTCTATAAAAGAATCTATATATACAGAAATACCACAGTTCCCTCCGAAAATCGGAATAGGTCCACTGAGCTTCATATTGGATGGCATTCCTACTCGCTCTCTATATGGAGCCAATACCCTTCAATTTTTAAGTATAATTATTGACTATGTTACTAAACCCCTTATATAACCCTCTGTACTGTTTAGCCAACTTGTACAAATATATAATAACCTTGTAATTATTAAATGCCGAAAATCGATCAACAAGGAATACAAAAATAAATTTTTATTCCAGGTCACGTACAGAATCGAATTAGCTGACGAAGAAGCATTAGCTAGATAACTTAAGTCTTATCTGGAAATTGAAGATTATGATTTTGACATGGATTAAATTTATATGGATCCGTTGCTCGAAAATATGAAACTACCTTGTAATACTACGATTAACCGTATAATCCTGGTTTACGACTTTCCCAATAAATTCTGAAAATTGAAGTATCAATAATGTCATTTCTAGTTTGGCCCAATTAATAATAAAAATGGTAATTAGTTTGCTTATTTTTAGCGACGACAAGTACAATTTCAGCCTAAGCATTTCTCGATTTATTGATTTTTGTTATATCACTGTCCTTTAATTATTTTGTTTTGTTTAGTAGTCTACCTGTATTTTTCGAAATGTCGATACATTAAGTGGTGTCTCCCGTAGTTACTGTGTTTGCAAGTCCAGGTTGGCGTCAAAAAGGGTGACCTTTGTAGTACGAGTCAATAAAGGCAGACCGTATTTGTATAGTATTGAAGTCAATTTTTTTTATTTTTTGTGTGTTCTACATGTTGCGATAGTTCGTTTATGTTGATCATATTCTGCGTGTGGATACTGTAAATTGTTCCTCGTGGCTGAACGCCCTGACAAAACCAAAATAGCGAAATTTATAGGAGCCTAGATGATGAAGCAATATTAATTATTACGATTGATTAAGTACAAAATGGCATGATGTTAAAGATTACTGATTTAAATCTATTTCAAAGCGATTTTTCTTCTCTTTGCGATGTATCAGCATATTCTTATCAGCAGTTAGTTCAACCAAGTCTTGTCTGATTGTCAGGAATGATAAGAATGTAGTTGACAAATACTATAGCTGTTTTGCTTTATTGAATTAACCAAACAATTTTGTTTTATCTACGTATTTTCAGCTAGTTTTGAAATTTCGCTGTCTTTAGTGTCACTCGGGCTGCGGGGCATATTTCCTAATACGCAGAACAAGCGGATCAAAAAGTTCATTTAAATTATTAAATTTATTTCATTTAAATTAGTTTTTTAAAATTAAAATGATCTTTATTAGTTTAAGATTTCTTCTTTAACTCAATTTAAAGGAAAATTTTGAAGGAAACTGCAAATTCTTTTAATAGGAGAGAATTTCGTCATTGGGCTACAATATTTAAAAAAACTTTGTCAAATGTAAAACTGTCATAATCTGTGGTTTGTAAGGCTGCTATATCTTTAAAACTTTAAACTTTAAAATTGCAGGCAACTTCCGTTTTTTCCTCCATCCACTTACCGTCAATGCATAATCTCAGCTTGAATATTTGACGGAAAGTACAAAAAAGAAATAATTCCCTGGAACTTGGTCATTTACGTAACTTAGGCGGAAGTTACATAATCCACCTCCTCGTTATATACCAAGTTTAAAATGGTAACAATCCAGCACCGATCCACTTTTTAAACGGGCAGCAGGCGTTTTACGAAAAGAGGACGCAGTAAAGTTGAAAACTTAGTTCCCTTAACTTTCTTACATGCAGTTAATTAACAACCCTCCAAGATTTCGCACTTGGTAAAAATTAAAATTAGTTTTACTCTAAAGCGTTAAATAATTGAAATTTGAATTGTTAAACAAAAATATCCAATTGGATTGAAAAGTGAAATATTGATTCAGTATAAAAGAACCATTATTTTGACACACCAACATTTTTTGATTATTTAAAGAGATGGGAATTTAAAAACACGACAGTTAAAGTACGGTCATGAGGCCATCATAAACCATACTAGATGGTGTAATAAATTTTATTGTACATCTCTCATAAGATCGTAGTTAAGTAAAAATTGCCCCTGAAGGGTTTCCAGGCATTATTGCTTTCCACGTTTCAAGAAGATGAAAAGGCGTAAGTATAATCGTATTTCGTTATACGTGCCGAATTCAAATATGCGACAAAAAGAAAAAGTATCTTTATTTAGTAGTAAAAGTATCAATAATAACAGTTCTGTTTGCAGCATTCAAAAGTTTCGTGTTTTCTATTTAAAAAAAAAAATCTAATAAATTTCCTTATTACAAGACAATGTAGGAAGCAAATTATGTGTGGTCACATTGGTTGGTGGGTTGTATCAATTAACGCAGGATAGTGTAATAGAAATAGTAAACCTCGGTCTACCGATACTACAACATTTTTATCTTTTTCACATCAGTCCAGATTGTTGTTTAAAACAAAAAGGATTATTTACACAAACAGTTTGACTTTTAGGTTTAATCTCGTGTCCATGCACCAACAGATTGGCGACAAAGCACTCACACGAGATCCCTTTTGGACATTCGTTTATTTTTAATGCACGGAGGGGAAGAGTTTGAGATCAATATTCCTCGTGAAAAACGTAGGTGGTCATATTCCGTTGCCGCACTTCTGCGATCGGAAGGCTTACAAAACACAGATTCTCACATTCTGACAAAAAAATGGATATTTTGATTGTAAAATATTGAGAGAAAATGAAGATGACTTTTCAAAAAGAAATCGAAGTGTCTTTCAACATGGTTACGTACAACCATGCGAAAATAGCGAAAACACTAATACTACAGTTTTCGTTCAAATTGACTTAATGTAGAAATTTTAAACCAACTAAGGTCATTTACATATGACCTCATTTAAATCTAACAACATCAAGCAAAATGTACGATTTGTGCTAAGATGTAACGAACTTATTCCATCCAACTGTATCAACCATGAATTACATAAAAATGTACATTTAATCAGTCTTCATACACACACAAAAAAAAAGATCTTCATGATGTTATCGATACCAGCCTTGTTAAAATAACTATATATAAAAGATCAGAAATAAGGAGAATTTAAAAAAAACACTCAGTTCGTCGAACTTTAGAGGACTTTCATTAGGAATTTGAAGCTATTTCTAATGATCTACTTGTTGTTGTAATTAAGAAATTGTTGAAATTATGGCTTCAACCATAATATATTTATGATTAGTCCACTCTGCTAAGCAAGACTCATAAATTTATTCCGATCTTAAACCAACAAAGGTCATTTTCATTCACATATATGACCTCATTTAAATCTAACATCATCATCAAGCAAATGTACTGTTTGTGCTAAGATGTAATGAACTTATTCCATCCAACTGTACCAACCATAAAATTAATAAAAATATACATTTAGTCAGTCTTCTTACACAAAAAGAGAAAGATCATCGTGATGCTATCGATACCAACATTGTTAATATATTCACTAATTTCGTGGTCCGCTCGACCAATTAATATATTACAATTAATTAAGGTTTTTAATGAGATAAAAAATCAATGGCACGAGCGGGATTCGAACCCACAATCTTCAGCTAGATACGCCGCTGCTCTACCACTTGAGCTATCGTGACCTCGATCCACTCGGACACTAACTTCCCATCTCAACCCCACCTCTTGTTAATATAACTGTATATAAAAATCAGAAATAAGGAGAATTTAAAAAAAACACTCAGTTCGTCGAGCTTTAGAGAACCTTCATTAGGAATTTGAAGCTATTTCTAATTAACTACTTGTTGTTGTAGAA